ACGGGGGAGGAAAACAGGGGGAGGGAGGGGGAAACATGGGGAGGAAAACTGGGGGAGGGGGGGGGAAACAGGGGGAGGAAAAAAGGGAGAGGGTGGATAAGAAACATGCAGGAGGACTCCATCTCCTACGTGATTATACGTACAACGGCAAACGGACCTCGACACATGGTTATTCATCCACCTAAAACGATGTACGGACTCGATAGACAATTTAACTGGGGTAAATAAGCGGGAGAATTCTCGAAAAAAAACCTTTAAGACATTTGGGCACATCAGAACTGAGCAGGCTGCCTACAGGTATATTCTGGCCGACCAATGGGGCCGTGGGCGTTGTGCTCTATACACAATCATCTATCTAGCTGGATAAATTATCACATGAACACGAAAAGCAAATGTACGTGTTCTTGTCAATACCATTATTTTTTTTTTTAAATGCAAAAAAGGAAAAAGTTGCGTCCCAGCAAGAGTCAGGTAAGCAATTAGCGAAAAATGACAGCAACAAAACGAAATGGACATACAAATGTAACTCTCTCTCTCTCTCTCTCTCTCTCTCTCTCTCTCTCTCTCTCTGTGTGTGTGTGTGTGTGTGTGTGTGCGTGTGTGCTCCAATTCACTATACATCGAAAAGATGGGAAGTGAGAAAGATTAAACAGAAGACGTAAACATGCCGTTATTTTACCTCTCTCTCTCTCTCTCTCTCTCTCTCTCTGTGTATGTGCTCCAAGTCGTTATACGCCGAAAAGACGGGAAGTGGGAAGAATTAAACAGGGGACGTAAACACGTCATTAAACAGGGGACGTAAACGTCATGTTCTCTCTCTCTCTCTCTCTCTCACACACACACACACACACACACAACCGGTATATCGAAAGCGGGAAAGAAACGAAACGAAACGACAAATACTTACACAAAGGCGCCGACCAACCAGATCCTTACAATGCTAATCACGTGGATGGATGACCACATATATACGACGGAAATTCCGATTAATTTTTCACTGTACAAAGGCTGATGATTAATCATGACAAACCGGTTAAGTTCAGTAATTGTAAAAATGAAAAACATAACTCGTTGTTTACAGTGACTTTATAATTAAACATGACATCCGCCGAAGTGACAAACTACTTTGGCAATGACAAATTGTTTTCTGGTTGCTTATCATGACCGTGACGCTAGTTTTCAAGCATTCGGCCGTTTCCTTCACTTCCCTCCTGCTCACACACCAAATCATAGAGAGCGAGCAAGCGAGCGAACGACAGACAGAGAGGGAGAAAGAGACGTGTGTGCGAGAGAGGTGGGGCCAGAGAAGTACCCATAGGAAGAGCAGAAAAAGAGAGAGATGAGCACGTGCGAGAGAGAGAGAGAGAGAGAGGATTAAGGAAGTTGGCGACAGTGAACTCGATCGAGTCCTGGCGCACTCATCGAATTCCATTGTAATCGTCTTTCTTTCCTCTTTTCCTTAAAATTTGAAAATAAAGAGGGAAAATATAAAAAAGAAACTCAATTGATGAGGACCCGAGCATGTTAACCAGCCCCACCAGCCGCCGATCTTCTTTACGCGGCAATCTGTGTAATGAAGGTCACGGTAGCAATATAATAAAAAAAGGTCATAAAAAAGGACAGATGAACGACAAGGGACAATACACCTTTGTCGATTCTACAGGATGCCAGCTCACATTCCGCACTCACCGCAAAGCCTTCCGTCGAAAGCCCCTTCTCCGCCATCTGGGAACCTTCTGGGTTTCTGGGAAATTCTGAGAGAGTGACAACCCGCGTCGAGCACTCTCTCCTGCAGCTACTGTCCGTGTACCCAACCAACCCGAAATCGCGGGGAGGCTTCGCCGCGCTAGCGTCGGATTTCTAGACGTACGCTGTAGTTCCGCTCAGTGTCGGAAATACAGTCATCTTCACTTCATTTCGCTCTCAACATATTGTGCCGTAATAATAATCTCTCTCTCTCTCTCTCTCTCTCTCTCTCTCTCTCTCGCTGCATCCACAAACACAGGCAGTCGCACGCACGCACGGGCGGGCGCGAACAGACCACACGGGGAACTGAAACGCTGAAACGAGGTGATTCAGTCCGTGTAGTTCACCGACGAACGGCAAAAGAAAAAAGCCTCAGATGACCGTGTATCATCTCCCTTCAGATGTCGCTGCCACCAATCTTCGGCCAGAGGTTCTACATATCTAACAGCTTGTATGTACACACCATATACTGTACGTAAGCACCCCCTCTCGACCATTCCGCCTCAAATTCATTGCCGACCAGAGACCTCTCTCTCTCTCTCTCTCTCTCTCTCTCTCTCTCTCTCTCTCTCTCTCGTGCGCACACACACATAGTGAATATGACGACACCCATCAAGAACGCACAAGGAAGCGCATTTCTTCGGAACGGCATCCGTCTTGTCACGGAATGAGCATCCGTCTTGTCACGGAATGAGCAATCCAGCCGACCGAAAAGCTATATCCGCCTGTTCGCACAAGGAATCTTGCTACTGATTGGAACTATATCCACCTGTTCACTCGCTAACCATTCGATCCTTCCCCGTCAACCCTCGACATAAACAACACAAGTGAGAGAGGAGGGAACAAGGCTCACTAAGCTCTTCAGAACTGAATGTACATTTACATCGTCGCCATTATACTTACCACACCCGAATTTCCACCGCTTTTACATTATTCTTTTCGCCTTCCTCTTCTGCGCATTCTTCTCCCTCCTAATCTCTTCATTCCTCCCTTCTTCGTCTCTCTCTCTCTCTCTCTCTCTCTCTCTCTCTCTCTCTCTCTCTCTCTCCCTCTCTCTCTCTCCCGTCCTACCGAAAACTTCAGCCAAGCTGGTCGTCCGCAGTACTCGCACTAGTACCGGTCCCAATGCCCCGCCTCCTCCGCCTCGCTGCTTGCGCAACTCCCCTACTTAGGCAGTCTCCCGTACCTGCTTTCCTTGGCGCTCCTTCTCGCGGCACATCCACAACATAGCGCCACCGTCAATATTGCCAAGACCGCAAGATTAATGAAAGCTACCGCTCTCCATCTATCCTTTATCGTGTGTAAGAATCCCGCCTTGCAGGAATCGCACATGTAACACCTCAGCGCCGGACTATTGTCGTAGCGCCCGCAGTCCTCATCCATCGTGTCGGCCGGCGACTTTATCGTGTAGTACGTAGTGTTGACCATAACGAAGCCGCACTCGTCGAGCGGCTTGCAGCAGCCTGATTCCAGCGCATCCAATTGGACGTCCGTGATTTCCTGGGGATGCTGCTTGGCCAGCCGTCCGCAGACATCGAGATCCGATAGGCAGTCCTTGATTCGCCTCCAGATATCTTTGTCTTCGACTCGTTTCTGCAGCCAGGTGGAGTAATCCCCCAGCCTGTACTCTCTCACGCCTGTCGCACTCACAGTATCTCCGGCGCTCTCGTTCGTTACCACGAACGTGAAGATGGTGAAGGCCGTCAACAGCAGGAGGAGCAACGTCAGGAAGATGATGTATAGCCATAGCAGACAAGTGCTCTCCTTTGAGGCGCCCACGCAACCCAAGAAAGAGATGACGAAAATAGAAACGCCGATGAAGACGACGGGAACAGTCAGGAACCTCTCGCACTGCGTACCGCCTTTGGTCGCTAGCCATATCCCGGCACTCAGAATAACGATGGACATCAATAAAGTTAGCACATTGAGGTACTTCACGACGAACCTGCTCACCCCCATCTCTTCTCTTCTCTTCTCTTCTCTTCTCTTCTCTTCTCTTCTCTTCTCAACCAGCACCGATCCTCTACTCCCCTGCTTCTGCCCTTCGCCACTAATCCCCTTCTCCTCTCGTGTTCTTTTCGTTCTTTTCCTCTCCTACTCTTCTATGTTCGTCTTCTCTCCGACTCCACTGCTCCTCTCTCCTCAACCTCCTCCTCCGGCCGACGCCGCTGCTGGGCCGATAGTAGATTTCTGCCTCCCGCGAAAAGATAGAAATGGCTGCACAGAGAGAGAAGACAAGGGTTCAGTATTGAGTCTATAGTCTTTCGTTCAGGTTGAATTCAAGGTCCAGGTGTTGTAGATGCAGGTGACGAGGAGTTGAAAGAGGGGTGATTTCTTTGCGTTAAGAAGGTCCACAGCGTTAACAGGGACAGGCGAGAGGCGATTTCGTTTCGTTAAGGACAGGCGGAAAGGGGATTGCCTTTCGATAAGAATGACAGGCGTGAAGTACAGGAGTGGAAGACAACGATGAGGAGGAGGAGGAGGAGGAGGAGGAGGTATACCGAGGGCGGAGAAGAGTGCGAGAGGGGACCCAACTGAAGAACGAGAAGAGTATTTGGGCGAGCGAGATGGCTTGATTGATCAGTGGCTCTGCGTGTACAACGTACGTAGGCGTACCGCAACTGGGGACTAGGTCCCACTTACACGAATTAAGAGATATTGACCGCAGATAGCACAGATCAACGGTCAGAATGTCGTAATACGTGCAAGTGGGACCTTGCCCCGGTTGAGAGGGGGAAGGAATGTTCGTCTGAACGAGACCAACCGCAGTGGAACAAGAACTAGTACGGTACCGTAGAGGGACGAAAACTGGGCGGTGACGGTGATTACCTGAGTTCCTACCGGTAGACCATCGATCGAGGCGTTTAATTTATCAAAGATATGAGTAGGGTAGGCTGATATCCATTAGGGGGCGGGGAGAGAGGAGAATGCGCGCGCGCTGGTTTCCCCCAAAAAAAAAGCATGCGCGCTGGCCACTGGGTGGGCTGAACTGAACTGAACTGAACTGAACCGCCCGCCGCACGACGCGATGACGACAGATCAGCATCAGCAGCATCCAGGGGCTAGGTCCCACTTACACGACACGAATTAAGCGATATTGACCGTAGATGGCAAAGATCAACGGCCAGAATCTCTTAGTCCGTGTAAGTGGGACCTTGCCCCAGTTCAGTGTGACAACCGCGTACTCCGTCACACTCGCGTCTCCTCGAAAAGGAGAGAGAAAAACGCGGTACCTGCCAGGTGGCTGGCAGTAGCTCCAAGAGCCGGAAAACCGCCGGGGGGCAAAAACAAGAAAAAGAGCGGGACGACAGCTTTTTCGCGGTTGAAAAAAAAAAAGGAAAAACAATTACACATGTGGTGTACGCACCATTGGTCGCCGCGGTACTGCGGCCACGGTGGACATGTCACTCGCTCCGAGTCCAGTCGACTTCGGGCCTTGCCGCACCACTCACCAAATGTGAAAAATGAGAACGAATCTGCCCCAAGAACATGGAGAGATACACAGGCATATTTTTTCTCGTTTGTGCAGGTGGTGAGCAGTGCGGCGAGGCCCTTCGTTGTTTGCCGCACCACTCACCAAATGTGAAAAATGAGAACGAATCTTCCGCAAGAAAATGGAGAGATACACAGGCATATTGTTTGTCGTTTGTGGATGTGGTGAGCAGTGCGAGATACACAGGCATATTGTTTGTCGTTTGTGGATGTGGTGAGCAGTGCGGCGAAGCCCTTCGTTGTTCCCGAAGAGAATGCCTTCTCTGGAGGGAAGCGCCTCGGCGTACCGCTCATCAAATATGAGAAGGACAATGCCTAAAGCTGCAGTATTTTTCCATGCTTTAGGGGAAGATACACGCTCCATTTTGCATTTTTTGTGAGTAGCGCGGCGAGGTGCAAATTGCGGGGGAGATACACGCTCCATTCTGCATTTTTTGTGAGTAGCGCGGCGAGGTGCAAATTCCGGGATGAACCAAGAAAAGAAAGAAATAGAGAGAGAGAGAGAGAGAGAGAGAGAGAGCAGAAGAGGACGACATCTGCCATGTGGCGGGCATTTCGGCAGCCGTCCGTTGTACTGTGGTGAGCCACAGGACTGGAAAGTAGGCCGGACATCGTAGTGGGTGAGGTAGCGCCAAATGTGAGCGAGGGGTAGTGAGTGGACTTCACTGAACGGGAGCTTGCAGCGAACCTGGCCCCTCGCGTCTAAGAAATGCATTCGGTCGCCGGCGGGTGTGCTTGCGGAACGGGATCTTGCACCGAACGCCTGGGCCGAGGCCCCACCGGCGAAGAGGATTGGCCTGAATCCGGATCTGTTGTATGAGGAGATGCAGAAACGCAGGTCAGTGGCAGTTCTCTGCAAGATCATGTCTGCGAAGAAGTCCAGATTAAGGTTTCAAATCACCATCTGTGCTGCCTCGCTCCTGGAATATTCGGGGCCTCGTTCGACACCACTTACAATGTAAGGTTGCGCCACACCCTAATGACGGAAAAAACTAACTCCGAACTGTTTCCACATTTTCAACTCTTAGGGGTGGACCCCACTGGCCTGCCGTTGGAAACTGGTGTTGGCCACAAAAACCGGCCGACCGTGGTTGGAAAAAACTTACGCATTTTGAAGGGACCCCAATAGGCATGGCATACCCCAATAGGAAACCGCCAAAGGGTGTTTTTCCAAAAGGCAAGTCGGGCGGGTGCTGTGGACAATGGTCTGGTACCACACTGCTCTTGGGAATACCGTGCGACACCACGAGAAAATACGAATGTCCGCAATGGCTTCCGGGTACACAGAACGGTCCACGGCGAGGGTGCATGGTCCACGCCATGAAGCCCGCGTCTGGAAACTGATGGACATGCCCCCCCCCCCGCTCAACTGGCCGCCTCCTTGGAAAGGGTCTGGAAACCCGTCGGCATTGAATTTCCAGACCGCAGACCATGTAGAAACGCCCCATCACCATTTCGGCAACCTCTTTCCAAGCGCAGTGGGGTCTGGAATTCCTTTCCCGGTCGGCTTTCCACACCGGGTTCCAGACCCGTGGGGTATGGAAAACACCCCGGCGCCCAAACTTTTCCAGGCCGCTGGCCAGTGGGGTCCACACCTTACGGTCTGCCCCTACAAAATGAGGGCGCCCCAGGCAAAACGCTGAAATCTATAGTGTGCCCCCGAGGTGACTTGAAATGTGAAATGTGAGGGTGTGACCCTACAAAGCGCGTTATTCACGGAGGCTGTCTTTTGTCTTTTGTTTTTTTCTGGCGAAGCATGGTCGTTCCTGGTCCAAAACGTTCGTGTCCGGTCCTCCGCCCGGGACAGTTGCACCGACGAGACCCGGTACCGCTGCCTCCAGTGCCGTTGCAAGGCCCGGTAGCCGTTGGCAGGGTACGAAGGTTGTTCTGGAAGCGGCGGGGGCAGACGGCCGTTGGCGATCGTTTGAATTCGAAATCTGCTCTCCGGCAGCTGCACCCCTGCCAACAGCCAGTCCATGGTGGGGTGTCCACAGAGGGCAAGACACAATGCTCCCTTGGCGCCAGCTGATCCATGTAAAGATGTCAGGCACATTGTCGGTAACTGTATAGTCTGTGCTGCAGATCGGGCGCCGATCCGCGTCCCAAACACTATACTTCCGACAGAGGTAGAATGCCCCCTTCCAGCATGTCAACATAGATACGACAGATATTGACGTTGCACCTGGCCTTAACCGTTGCAAATATTCCATTTTGCTGGTTTTAATTTATAATTTTTAAAAATATATGGAGGTTTATATATGCAAGACGCATAAACCTCAGAAATAGCGACCTACATTGATCGATTCCTCGACACCCATCTAGATACAGCTTAACCAATGATGGATCAGAGTTTAAGGCTGAAGTAGAGGAATCGATGACACGTAGAGGCATCACCCTCTGACACACTGCTTCGCATGTCTCCCAATCCAATGGACTCGCGAAAAATGTGAACTGCATGATTAAAACCGCCCTACGTCGGAATGTAACGGCTAATGACACATGTCCCTGAACCGTGATAGTGTACCAAATCATTGGAATTCACCTGGCCACGCCTCATGTAGCGTGCCTCCAGCTGCCTTGGCCTAGAGTCAGGGCTATCAAGCCATTTTGCCTGTTCGGCCTGTGGGACCAAGTCGTGGCCCTACCCCACAGACCGTGTGCTCATTTAGTCCAGTCCAGTCCTGTCCGGTACCACTGTTCATACCAGGCCAGTCCAGTTCAGGCCAGTCATTTCGTTGGGGTTATACCTCTACTGCAGTTTAATTCAGCCTCATTCTTCATCTGCATACTTTTGGAGTAAGTGCGTGTTGAATCTGCATCGGAGTTCCGCTGTCCCTTCCAACTCCATCTCCATCCTCGTCATCCTCACCCCTTCATCTTCATCCTGATGGATCGCCATCCCGCCATGTCTGCCACATTGGTATCAGGGCGGGAACCATCCCCCCCCCCCCCCCCCCCCCCCCCCCCCCCCCCCCCCCCCCCCCCCCCCC